TTGATTAACCTGTGGCCATATTCAAGGCAAGAATATTACAGGTAGAGGAAACAGCAAGAACAGAAGCCCTGAGGCAGGAGTAAGGTTGACTAATAATTAAGAGTTACAGCAAAGGCCATTGTGGCTGTAGCAGAGTGAGTGAGAAGGTAGATAGGAGAGAAGGTCAGGGATCAGGGGAGGGAGAGCAGATTGTGTAAGGTTTTATTGCCATTGTGAGGACTTTAGTTTTTATTCTGAATGAGATAGGAAGTCATTGGAGAATTTTGAGCAGAAGAGTGACTTGATCTGAAGTTTAACAAAACTCTTCTGAATATTTAAAATAGATTGAATGGGGGAAGGACAAAGGTAGAAGCTAGAAGACTAATTAGGAGGTCATTGCAATAACCTAGGAGCTCTGGTGGCATAGTGTCAAGGCATTTGACCGCTAATCAGAAGGTTGGCTGTTCAAACCCACCAGCCACTTCTAGGAAGGAAGGTTGGGCAGTCTACTTCTGTAGTAATACTGCCTCAGAAACCCAAGGAGGGGTTGCTATTAGTCAGATCCGACTCAATGGCAGTGAGTTTGGGGTTTTTTTGGTGCAGTAATCTAGGCAAGATGCAGTAGTGGCTTGGACCAGGGTGTAAATGGTGAGAAGTGGTCAGTAGTCTAGATTTTGTAGTTCTGGGTCAAAGACACACACAAGTGGTTTTTTTTTTTTTTTGTTTTTTGTTTTTCCATACAGCTTGATAAGGCTCATTGCATCTTAGAAACATCAACCACATACCCTCCAGAATTAAGAACCTGTTGTGTTTTTTAAAATACTTACTGTTAAGATTTTGAGAGCTGACAAGGGACAAGGTTGTAGTCACTTCTTGGCCATAGCCAGCTACCTAGAGGGAGCAAGTAGTTGGACCTGGGGCTTCAGGACTGTAGTCACAAGGGACATCAAGCTCAATTGTTATAACATACTACACAAAAACCTTATTCCACGTCCTACTTTGGCGAATAGTACCTGCGATCTTAAAAGCTTGCAAGCGGCCATCTAGATCCAGCTATGGGTCTCTCCATGTCCAGAGCAACGAAGAATGAAGAAAACCAAAGATGCATGGAAACAATTAGCCCAAGTGACTGGTACACCATGTGATTCTCAGCCTATAAGACTATGAAACCAGAAGAACTAGATGGTCCCCAGCTACCACTGTCAACCACTCGGAGGAATCTATGTAGGAGGTCCTGGATAGAATGGGAGAACAATGTGTAATGAAACTCAAAATCATTTTTTAAAAATTGAGAGTGGGGACCAGGTTTGCTGGTCTGATAGAGCCTGCAGGAACCACTTAGACTATGGCCCCTAGCTGCCTTTCAGCTCTGAAATTGAACCCACTTCTGCGCCTTCCAGCCAAACAAAAGACAGGCACATGAGCTGAACATTTACATTAAGTAGATAACACTCCTTGTAGAGATCAATCATGGAAGAATAGAAGGAAGGGCTGTCTATGCACAAGGAGACAACTTCTGGGGGAGGGGAGTGCATGGGAAGGAAGGACAGGGAAGAGGTAACTAGGGGGAAGAAAAGGGAGGGGAGCTGTTGTATTATGCAGTCAGTGTCATGAGACAGAGTATGTGAGCTGAACTTTTACATTAGCTAGATAAACTTGTAGAGATCAAACATGGAAGAATAGAAGGGCTGTGTATGCACAGGGAGACAACTTGCAGGGGGGTGCAGGAGTGCATGGGAGGGAAGGACAGGGAAGAGGTAAATAAGGGGAGGAAAAGGGAGGGGAGCTGTTGCATTGTGGGAATTTGCAGTCAGTATCATGAGACAGTATGTGAGCTGCTGTATGGAAAGTGAATTTCCTCTATAAACTCACCCAAATCACAGTAAGAAATTTTTTTAAATACTATTAGGATTTTGATTTAAAAATAAGACTAATGAAATGTATGCATATGGGATAAAACATGTTAAAAGGGAATAAAATCCCTTTATGCTACCGGAGCTCCTTCTGAGAACCTTATTTTGTTATTGTGCCATCAAGTAGGCCCCGACTCATAGCGACCCCTCCTTGGGTTTCCGAGGCAGTGTCACTACAGAAGTAGGATTGCCCAACCTTCTTCCGAGGAGTGGCTGGTGGGTTTGAACCGCCGGCCTTTTGGGTAGCAGTCAAGTGCCTTAGGCCTAATAATTAAAGATCTGAGAACCTAGTATCTTTAATTATCAGGTTTCTCAGGAATTTTTCAAGGCAAAACTGTTTCTCTTTGGTATTTCCCTCTACAAGCCTTTCTTCCACTTTACTAAGTCCACCCTCCTGTGTGCTTCATTGATTGAAATCTTGAATGGCAATTGTATGTTTAACTTTATTTAAAAAAAAAAAAAACCTGCGAAACTTTTCTAAAATGGCTCTGTCATTTTGCATTTCCATCAGCAATATGAGATTTGCATTTACTCTTCATCCTCACCAAAAGAACCCACCAAATGTTTAGCACTCAGCTGCTAACCCACCAGCTACTCCATAGGAGAAAGATGGGGCAGTCTTACTGCTGTAAATATTACACCCTTGGAAACCCTACAGGGTTTTTCTTCAAATCTTTTCTTCTAGAAGTTTTCTCTCGTCACTGTGCATATCACTTCCCTTATCTTTCCTTGACCCCCAAGCTTCGAGAAACCAACAGCCCATTGGGGTTACGCCCCTCTTCTCACTCTGGGCCCATCAGTCGTGGGGGTTTCTGTACTGAAACTATACCTGGCATCTGGTTCTTAGTTCAGGGCCCTCTCACCTAAAATTGCCCACTCTGCCCTTAAATAAGACATCTCCATGGACTAATGACAAATCAGCCCATGTTCACACATAACTGTGGTGTCATATATTTGCTATTTTTTAATTTTGGGGGATGCTGTGACTCAGCTATGGCCGTCTGAGGCCTTAACACAGTCAAGCAAATTGTAGCTGGGTGTAAATGAAGTATTAAGACTTGGATAATAACTACTTGGTGCTACTCAGTCCATGCTCAAGGACATAGAACAAAATTTAAGTCAGAGTTTCCCTAAACATGCTTAAATTTCCCACATGCATATACACGCAGATTATTTACCAGTAAAGCTTTCTGACACAAACTCCCCAAACCCCCTTAAAACCCTACACTAAAATTCCATAGGTAATTTTTTTTTCCTTGGCAAATCACAAAAGCAAGAAGACACTACTCAGGAATGAAGAAGGGCTTCCATATAAACGTGTCTACCTCCCTGAAAGCTACATCTAACTGTTTCCTGAAAAAAATAGTATCTAATCAGTTTATAGCTTAATACCAGTATATTACTTTAATTCGTTCATTTACTTTTTAAGAGCCATTTTCCTAGATTGAAAAATAAAAACTTTTACAAATTTACTTACAAAATCCCTGTTAATGTAGCTTAAACTAAAGCAAGGCACTGAAAATGCCTAGATAGGTCCTCTGACTCTAAACACAAAGGTTTGGTCCTGGCCTTCCTATTGACTATTAGTAAATTTATACATGCAAGTATCTGCCTCCCAGTGAGAATACCCTCCAAATCTTAATTTGATTGAAAGAAGTAGGTATCAAGATCACCCAGCGTAGCTCATAATGCCTTGCTCAGCCACACCCTTTCGGGTTAATTTTTAAATATGATGTGAGATGAAGGTCAGGTTTTACTATTTTACATATTGATGTCCTCTATTTTTTAATATGTAAATTTTTATTCTTAGTTGCATAAAGTTTGTTTTCTGTATTCTCCTGATGGCGTGTACTTGTTTCATCGATGTGAAATATTCTTTATCTTAATGTATTACTTGATATGATGTTTCTGTTGCCATTTCTGCTTTTATATAGTCATATAAAATAATTTTTTTTTTTTTAATTCTAGAGGTAAGATTGTTTAGTATATTTATTCTTGGTGGGATTCTTTTCTTTTTCTTCCTTTATTGCACATTTTGGAGGTAGTTCCAAGTTTTATCTCTGATTCAGTCTGCTTTTTCTCTTCAGCTGTAGTTTCCTGAGGTGATTTTCCTGTTTGGTTAGAAAATAGTTCTGAACTTTACTGAATAGTTCTTAATATTTTAAAAGATTATTTCTCACTCTTGCATTTAAAAAAATAATTACTCAGCCTAAGTGTCTCTTACATAATTTTTAACGAGTTTTAATTTCATTTGTAACTAACTTTTATCGTTTTGTTTTTTCCACATGCACCAAAATCAGCCTTTGTTTTTAAATTGGACTCTTCTAACTAAGCTTAAATACTTTGCACAGATTTCCACATTATGGATCTAATAGACAATGTAAGACTCAAGTGCTGTATTTTTTTTGTAAGTGAAACACTTGATATTTAAATACTTAAAATAGGAGAAACATACATCATTATCTATCAGTGATTTATTTCTTATCTACTCAAATGGCCGTTTGTTGAGTTTTGAAAGGTATGATAGGAGTTTGAAAAATAAAATAAATCTTAAATAATGGTCTAGGTCTCAACAGAGCCATAAGTAATACCTTAGAACGATATTTAAAATTATGGTATGATTTACCCATAAATTTTAATAATAACACCTACCATTTGGAAGCTTCTTATTTTAGCTATTCTTGGTAAGTAAATATTAAGCTCAGTTCATTTTAGCTGCTGAGGTATTTGGATGTAGTCAAATAAATAAAGCTTACAAAATATTCTTGTTGTTGTTGTTGTTAATGTGCCGTCAAGTCGGCCCTGACTCATAGCGACCCCTCCTTGGGCTTTCGAGGCAATATCACTACAGAAGTAGATTGCCTAATCTTCCTTCCGAGGAGTGGCTGGTGGGTTTGAACCGCTAGCCTTGTGGTTAGCAGTCAAGTGCCTTAGGCACTATGCTACCAGAGCTCCTACAAAATATTTTAGAGTCTTCTAAAATCATTTAAAATTTTATTTAAAATTTTATTACCTTGGCAAAGCCCCAGCTGCCCGCTCTATTTACGGCTCTAGGCATGTGTATTATGAATTGAGTAAATAAGTTTTGTTCTTGTCCCTTTTTTGTAGATGTGGTGGTACAGTGGGAGCTATTCTGACATGTCCATTGGAAGTTGTAAAAACACGACTGCAGTCATCTTCTGTGACACTTTACATCTCTGAAGTGCAGCTAAACACCATGGCTGGAGCCAGTGTCAACCGAGTAGTCTCTCCCGGACCTCTCCATTGCCTAAAGTGAGAGCACAGTGTTTCTAACTTATCTTTAGTCTGCTTGCCTCCGTGAGTCCCACATGCTTGTTTATATTCTGCCACGTTCAAAAAGGTTCTTTAAAAACTCTGTGACAGGAATGTGAGGGTGATTTGGCCATGATGTCTGTCAACCCATTGATCACCAGGGTTAATTCAGCTGGTCTGGCTGGCTGGATGAGTGTCCCCTTCCTCCCTCACCAACCCATGTGCGTCCCTTCCAAAGCTGCATGCTGGGTTGAAGAGGACGACGACCTTCCCCAAAAGAGGAGGACCATCCTGCAGTCAAGGATATACGAGTAGCTGCACTCCCCTGCTAGAACCTCCAAACTAAAAACTCTGTGATGGAAGTTACTCCAAAATAATAATACTCACTAGAAATGAGAATCCTTAATAGAGAGGAACAATTGGATGGATAGTATAAAATAGAGTATTATCTCCAAATCATGTGTATTTGGAATATCTTTCTGTGTTTATCTTAGGGATTTTTTTCCTAAAGGCTTTATAGATATTTCATTTTGGATTGCTAGTTCATTTATTTTTGAAATTTGGTGATATTAATGATAACTTTTTGAGTGTTTTTTTTTATTTTGTTTTGTTTTTTAATTTTGAAAGCACTCACACAAGTAAGTATATACAGTTAATGGCAGCCTAATTTTTATATAACCTAAAAAACATAACTGAGATTTAAAGCAGAGTTCAACTGATTTTAAAATGCTACACATTGTAGATTTGCCATTTCTTGAGACTTTGGGAAAGATCGGTTTTTAAATTTTACCATATCTCAGTTATGTTACAAATTGAATATGATGTTTAAAAACTACTAAAATCAGGTCTTACATATTTAAACTTAACTGTAACTGAATGCCTGCATATCTGCCTTATCAACTCACTTAGTACTTAATCTATTTGAACTTAGTTGAGTAGTATTTATTTTGTAGTAGCAAGTAAACTCGGGTGTTTGTTCACCTTCACTTTCAAAAGATTTCGTCACTTTTTTCTCTTTTTTTAAGCTTAGTTACCAAGTACATGGATAAGTAGAATAAAATTGCTAACAATTTTATTAAAATGCCAAAGTGATTATAGATAAATACCTCTGTGTAATGAATAGTAAGAAGAGTATTATAGTATCATGATTTTGACATTTATTACCACTTCTCCTCAAAATTCCTCTTTTGACATTTGTGATACACTATATTTTTAATCTGGTTTTTGATGGTTTTATGTTTTCTGCCTTTCCTTAGAGCAACTTTAGGAATCCCTCTGGGCTCTGTTTTAATTTCTCAATTTTTCAGACCCTTTTATTAGGCTGAAACTTTCAGCTGCTGTCAGTATACATTTGACCTGCAAATATGTATTTTCTTGCTTTGACATCTTTCTATTCTCATTCCCCTTGTTGCTTTATTCAAGGATCTGTTTTGTGGCTGCTTATTCATCTTTAAAAAAAAAATCTTTATATAATTTACATACCATAAACTTCATCCATTTAAAATATATAATTCAGTCACTTTTAGCATATTCACAGAGTTGTGTAACCATCACCCCAATCTAAGTTCAGAGCATTCTCATCACCACAAAAGAAATCCATATCCATTAGGCAATCACTTACATTCTCCCCTTTCCCCCTTCTCAGCCATAGAAATCTGTTGCCTTGGGGTTGATTCTATCTGGGAACTGCCCAGTAGAACTGCCCCCATAGGGTTTCCAAGGCTATAAATCTTTATAGAAGCAGACTGCCACATCTTTATCCTGTTTTCTCAGCCATAGACAACTACTAATCTACTTTCTGTCTGTAGATTTGTATATTTTAGATATTTCGTATAAATGGAATCATATAATATGTTGTCTTTTATGATTGGCTTTTTTCACTTAACAGTGTTCTCAAAGTTTATCCATGTTTTAGCAAGTATCTTTATTTCCTAATACTCCTCTATGTAGGTATATACAGTAAAACCTGTGAAAGCCGGAACCCGTATAAGGCAAAAACCTGTCAGAGAAGGAAAACTCACATGTTTTCCACTAATAGAGAGTGGTAGAAAAGTGCTAAGACTGCATCCTGTCAAAAGCAGAAAACTTGGGGACCCAGAAGAAAAAGCCAGTCTTGTTGAGTTCTCGTTCTCACAGGTTTGACTATATCACATTTTGTTTATCCACTTATTATTAGTTGATGGACATTTGGATTGTTTCTACGTTTTGGCTATTAAGAACAATGCTCTTGGATGGATATATGTTTTCTACCTTAGAGTGGAATTGCTAGGTCATATGGTAACTTTATGTTTAACATTTTGAGGAATTGCGAAACTGTCTTCAGAAGTGATTGTATCATTTTTCATACCCACCAGCAGCAATTAAGAGTTCTAGTTTCAGCCCATTCTTGCCAACACTTGTCAATATATCTGTCTTTTTGATTATAGCTATTCTAGTGATTAAAAGCTCTGGTAGCATAGTGCCTAAGGCACTTGACTGCCAACCAGAAGGCTGGCAGTTCAAACCCACCAGCCACTCCTTAGAAAGAAGGTAGGGCAGTCTACTTCCATAGTGATAACCACCTCAGAAACCTAAGGAGGGGTCACTATGAGTAGGGCCCAACTTGACGGCATGTAACAACAACAGCATTCTAATGGTTATGAAGTGTTTTATAACATCTTAATCAGGGACCCCAAGTGGTTCATGAATGAGCTTCAAGAGATCTGTAAATGAAACTATAGGATAAAATTACTTTTTTAGAAATAATTTACCTTTGTTAATTTCTCAAAGGAATTCATGATACAGAAAAGGCTAAGAAACACCAGATCTTCAAAATTTGCTTCACAGTTTGTCATTCTTAACTCTGCTTCTGTCTAATCTAATTACATCAAAAGTGGTTTTATATTACCTGTGTTAGTTATCTGGAATAGTGTTAAAAATGCAACTTAGTGGCCATTGCCATGTATCTATTAAATGAGAATATTTTGAGAGTAGGATTAGGGAAATCTGTATTGTAAACACATAGTCCAGTAATAACTATAGTAAAAATGATAATATTAATATCATATAGTTACTGTGTGCCAGGTACTCAAAGCTTTTTATAAACTAATTTATTCAGTCCTCATAATAATGAGGGCACAATGATTTTCCTTTTCACTGCTAATGAAACTAAGGATGAGAGAAAAGTAACTTTTTTTAGGATTTCACAGCTTGTCAATGAGTAAAATTGGACTTCATACCCAGGCAGTGGGGCCCCAGAGCTCAGGCCCGTTTAATTAACTGTTATTCTCAACTGCCTTTCAAGAGATCAGTCTTAAGCATTAGATGTTAAAAGAACCACAGCTTAGTCTGTTAACTCGTGACTGAAAATGCCTGCTCTTCATCAAACTCTGTTTCTTCTCATTTCTAAAATTTCATTTAATAACTCACGCTCCAAGAGCCTTCCATAACTAAGACTCACCTCTATTCCTTTATATGTGTATCTAGCTTGTCCAGTATGATCTGTTAAATTATTTATTTGAGTATAATTCTTTTTCCACAACTGGACAGCAAATTTTTCAGTGGCAGGGGGCTCACCCTCTTGTTTTCTGCCTACTCATATATATAGAGAATAGCTCTATACAATACAGTAAGTATTCAGTAAAATAAATGTTAACTGAGTGGAGAGAGAAATAAGTAGTAAATCAACCATTTTAGTATTTAAAGGATATTGTTGTTGTTGTTCTTATGTGCCATCGAGTCGGACCCAACTCACAGCGACCCCTCCTTGGGTTTCCGAGGCGATATTTCTATGGAAGTAGATTGCCCAACCTTCCTCCCGAGGAGTGGCTAGTGGGTTTGAACCGCCAGCCTACTGGTTAGCAGTCAAGTGCCTTTGGCACTACACTACCAGAGCTTCTTAAAGGATATTAGATTGATAGATTTTGCCATATCATTTCCTTGGAATGGTTAGATGGAATGGTGTACTACATTGTTCAATATTAAGGAAAGGACCTCAAATACTAGAAGGGAAACATTTCTCATTGAGATTTGACTTTGCTGGGGAAGTAGTAAAATTAAGGAGATTAAAATTGAGAACATCATGATAATAATGAAAATAAATGTAGAAATGTGTATCATGTCTTAATCTTTTAGGAAAGAATCTGAATGGAGTTTTTTTTTTTTTTTTTTTTTTTTTAATCAAAAATAGATCTATTATCACTCTTCAATAGTTTACTCTATCTCAAGAAAAACAGATGTTCATAAATAAAGAAAATTGACCAAATAAATTTATTTGTAATACAGAGTAAACAAAGTACCAGACTTTGAAGGACATTCCTTTCTAAATAACTTCTTTCTCTTTCAGGGTGATCTTGGAAAAAGAAGGGCCTCGTTCTTTGTTTAGAGGATTGGGCCCCAATTTAGTGGGGGTGGCTCCTTCCAGGTAAAAAAAAAATGTTTAAGCAAAAGTATGGCAGTGTTTTTCATGTTCCAGGGTATATTGATTTTACAATTTATAGATAAAATTTTATTTATAGATGTGGGTTTAAATGTTTATGGGAAAAGTAATGTGGTACCATTTGAAATTAGCAATAGTGATGTGAATAAGAAGGATATATTCCATAATGTAAGGGAGAGGTGTAATATTTATATTAAATGATTGATAGTCTTATACTGGAGGAAAAAAAGAAATATGACATATTATGGCTAGAGGTTTAAGAAATGCTGTATTTTATAGATTAGCATCATAAGCAAATCATTTATATAAAATTCCATGGATAGAACTGACAGATGTTAATATTTTTGGTGCTGTGTTCAAAATTGAAAATATTGAAGATAACATTTATCTTTACATCGCACAGAATAGGAAATGTAAAATAGTAATATTTGTGAGATAAATCTGGAAAATCCCTTATAGCTAAGAGCTTTGCACTCACATTTCTTGAAGGGATGCTTATACTCTCCTGATCATCTTAGAAGTTAGAAGTAGTTTTGTGTGTATGCAGGGGGTGGGGTTGAGGTGGGGATGAAAATCAACACAAGTGTAGGCTCATAGACTATTAGATATTTAGAGATAGGTGTTTGGAGTTTTTGTGAATTTAAACTAGCTCTTGCACTTTGGAAAATCTCTCTATAGAAAATAAACATTAATTTAAGCAAATGTATCCATTGGTCCTGCAAACTTAACATGTAGGATATATCTCTAAATTTTTCCATTTCTGAAAGCCATTTTGTTCTGTATACCATCTGAAGTCATTTTTTCCTGGCTCCCCGCATAGCAATTAAACTTCAAAGGATTAAGATGGAAAAGTAGAACCAAGGAGCTCTTAGGAGCAAGAGTCAGTGCTTAACGGGCTTGAAGAAAGGGAAAGGGACAAGAAGCCTAAAAGCATCAGAACTTGTATAGCACTGAGGACAACAAAAGGGCACATAGATGCCTACTGTGCTAAAGGAAGATGAGAGGAAGATAATGAAGAGAAGTCGATGTGGTGAAGAAAAAGCACTGATATAAAAGACAGACGGCAGTAACCATCTTAAAAGGATGGGCAGACTAGCCATGTTAAGATGTAGAAGGACGTCTTATGTCATAGTGAAACATGTTTTGCACAGAACTCAAAAGACAAAAGAACAGAATAAAAAAACTAGCAGTAAGAAAGGGGAAGACCTGCATGTCTAAGATTAAACCTTTTTTTCCTTTCTTTTTTTGGCTTAGAGAACAGGATAAATAGAATGCTTCCAGTATTCATTAAAGAAGGCAAAAAGACCTTAATATATTAATTTGTCATTTTTCCCTAACTGTTTTATCCTAGTATATTGACTTCTTTCATGATAGAAAACTCCAAATTTCATGTTTAGAGTGAAAACTCATATCCAGCTCACTATATCCAAACTCTGTATGCCATGCCTCATTTTTTCTTGTATTTCAAGTTTTTTGGGTTTTTTCCTAATGGTCTCTTTCTTCCTTTTTTAACAAATCATCTAAAATTAAATCCTCATTGTGAAAACCAGAAACAAAAATGTATAGAGTAAAACTTGACATTACACTTTAAACACTTCACCTCACACCCTTTCTACCTTCTCATACCCACTTAGTCTTCTAGCCCATAATTGCCATTACATTAATTCCAACTCTTGGTGACCTGTGTGTGTCAGAGTACGACTGTGCTCCATAGGGTTTTTAGTGGCTGATTTTTCAGAAGTAGCTCTTTAGATCTTTCTTCCAAGTCACCACTGTGTAAGCTTGAACCTTCAACCCTTTGGTCAGTAGTAGCCAAATGAGGTAACCATTTGCACTACCCAGAGACTCCAACTCAAAGTAGATAACTACCTGGTGTATATTTTTCTAGTCATTTTTTGATACTGTATACATAAAAACATCCTAATAACATAAATTGAATCATACAAAATATTTCACCTTGAAGCTTTTTTTGAAAATACATAGGTTTTTTTTTAAATTATGTATTGTCATTAATAAGCATTAATACACATTTAAATTGGATCATTTCCAGATTTTTAGTGTTAAAGACCATGGCTCTCTGAACATAATTGTATCTATATCTATGAATACTTAAGTATATTTCTTTACAATAGTTATCTAATAGAATTTCTGAACAAAAAGATGTATGTACATTTTAAATTAATATTTTTCACTTGCCTTCCAGAAAGGTGTAACATTTTTATTCCCAAATAATGAAGTAGTTGTTCCTTATCCACATCCTTACTAATGCTATTAACCATCTTTTCAATGTTTGCAAATGGATTAGAAATTACTTTTCACTGCTGTAATGTACATTTGCTTCATTTTTGGTACAGTTATGCATCCTTTTATGTAGTTGTTGCCCATTTGTATATGTATTCTTTAAATTGCCTGTATATATTCTTTGTTGGACTATATGAAGAAGAGGCAAAATCAGGATTGGAGGAAGACTCATTAACAACCTGTAATAAGTAGATGACACAACCTTGCTTGCTTGCTGAAAACAGAGGACTTAAAAAGCATTTACTGAAGATCAAACACTACAACCTTCAGTATAGATTACACCTCAACATAAAGAAAACAAAAATTTTCACAACTGGACCAATAAGCAACATCATGATTGATATATTGAGAAATTCTTGGCAACTTTAATCTTTTCTCAACACCCATGGAATCAGCAGTCAGGAGAACAAATAAGGTATTGCATTGGGTAAATCTGCTGCAAAGGACCTCTTTAGAGTGTTAAAAAAGCAAAGATGTCACTTTGAGGACTAAGGTGCACCTAACCCAAGCCATGCTATTTTCAGTTGCCTCATAGGCAATATGAAAGGTAGACGATGAATAAGGACTGAGAAAGAATTGATGCATTTGAATTACAGTGTTGGCAAAGAATTCTGAATATAAATGTAGTAGTTATGTGTCAGCTTGGCTGGGCCATGGTTTTGAGTGGCTGGACAGCTGGATGTAGTTATTCCCCATGATGAGATTGTAAGTTACCCTGATGGAATCTGCTGTGAGCAGCTAGGGAGCTGCCTTTGGGGTGAGGCATGCTTCCAGTATATAAGGAGAAGCTTTGGGAAAGGTCTGGAACTTCTAGGCACATCTGGATCCTGCATTTGGCCAAGTCATCAGTGGCCTACTATGTTGCCTGCCAATCTTAGGACTGTTTCTGGACTAGTGGTCTATCATGCTGCTTGCTAATCTTGGGACTGTGGCATTTTTCCTGTCACTCTTGGGTTCATCAGCCTCCAGAAATCGTGTGAGTCAGAAAACACCACCAGTTCTGGTGGGCCTAGAAAAGGACACAGAGCTGGAGCCCAAGGTCAAGGGCCTTTACTTAGCCCCTAGAGCTGGCACTTTAAACTCGGACTTCTAGCCTTCTAAACTGTAAGAAAATAAATTCTGTTGGTTAAAGCTATCCACTTGTAGTATTTCTATTATAACAGCACTAGACAAATCAATACAACTATGGACTGCCAGGAGAATGAACAAATCCTGTTTTGGAAGAAGTACAGCTAGATGCATCTTAAAAGTGAAGAAGGATGGTAAGACTTTGTCTAATGTACTTTGCCCATGTTATCAGGAGTAACCAGTCCCTGGAGAAGGTCATCATGCTTAGTAGAGAATCACTGAAAAACAGGAAGACCCTCAATGAGATGAATTGACACAGTGGTTACAATGGTGGAATCAAGCATGGCAGTGATTGTAAGGATGATGCAAGACCAGGCAGCATTTGTTCTGTTGTACATTGGGTCACGAGTCAGAACCAACTTGACTGGCACCTAACAACAGCAGTTTTCCTTGCCCATTTTCTCATTAGGATGTTTGTCTTTTTTCTGGTTGATTTCTAGAAATACATTGTTTATTCCTCTTCACAATTTGGCATCATTAAGTGCATCCTCTTTTCTCCCTCATAAAGTAGAATATTCCATTTTTAATTACAATAACTTCCCATTTTTCTTAAGCACATGTTTAAAAACATAATGGTGAGACTCTCGCATTTGTACTTGTTTGTCTACTATGTCCCTTATTTAACATGATCAGGATTGTTGAGGAATACAGACTATTACATACATCAAGCAAATAATTCAGTGCAAGGGAAGGCTAAACAATGAGAAAGGTAGTGGGAATGCAAAAAGTTATAGTCAGTAAATTAAAAGGGAAGTACTTACAAATTTAATTGAATGTTTTAAGTGTTAACATAACGACGTGATGGGCTGATTTTCATTGTTGTTATTGTTTTATCTGTTTAAAGGTACTGTGAAATACTCTGTGCATGGTATAGATTACAGTATACCATAATATCTCAAAATGGTTTAACATAACATTTCCAGAGTGGATCCAACCTTTTCTCTTTTTTTTTCCCCCTGATTTTCCTTCCTTCCTTCCCCCTCTTCCTCTTATCATATATAGAGAAAAGGTAGGGTTTTCTTTGAAAATAACTTCTTGAGGTTTTTTCCTATCAGAATTATTTTTACTTTGATTAGTTGGCTCAGTGCTACCCACCCCCAAAATACTTGTGTGTATATAAAGTTAAGTGCTCATACTACATTTACATAACTCAGTTGTATATAATTTAGCCTAAGCCTTTCACAATGAGCTCTTTCATGTGTTTTCCAGTTATCAGAATCATATGCAAGTATTTTTTCGTTTCAGTCAGTCAATCGCTAAGTAGCTGTGACAGTGTTTTGGTGGAGGGACTGACTCTAAGGATGCTAGGAACTTAACTTTTTAATGTGTCAGTACAAAAAGTACATCAGGGTCTTCGTGGAAAAAATATGGCTAAAACTTAGTTTATGTTTTCTTATTTTGTTACTGTTTGACATTTTATGTCTACTCTTAAATTACAAAGCTCAATGCTTATTGATAAAATTTAAACCTTTATTTTAGAGCAATATACTTTGCTGCTTATTCAAACTGCAAGGAAAAGTTGAATGGTGTATTTGATCCTGATTCTACCCAGGTACACATGATTTCTGCTGCAGTGGCAGGTATGAATGTATGGTATTAAAAAAAAAAAAAACTTTCTGAAATGTAAAGACTTAATATTGAATCATGAATTTACATTGAAACATTAAGATGATTAATGTATTTTTCATTGGTTAGTAGCTGTAAAAATGATTTTTACATTTATTAGTTTAAAAATACATTTGATCGAGTATGTAAAAACCTGTAAAATTGACATTTTTAAAATTAAATGTTTAATTGACAGGATGCAAGTAATGCAGTATTTTGCCTGTGTTGTCCTTGAATACATAGTGATCTCTTTTTAACAATTTAAAAAGCTAACTAAAATTACACTATTAAGTTATGGAGCTATAATTTACTCTTCTCTCCTCGATTTCTGTTAGTGCCGTTTTCCTTTTCGCTGCATGTTTTGGCTTCTGTCTGAAATGTGCCAGCAGTTCTTGGTAAAGTATTTGTTTTGTCCTGAGCTCCAAGTGCTGAAATTTTCTTGAATGGTGTTTAATTGATAAGTCAGTTACCATACTATGTGTATTTTTTTAAAATTATGTTCATAGTCTGAATTTGTGACATCTAGAGATATTCTACATAAATTATATTATATAGCATTTGAAGTTTAGGCACTGGCTATGTGTACATGCCTGCTATAGGAATGTTTCCAGCAACACTTCTACCATAATAATGAGTATGTATGATTTCTATTTAAAACAATTATTCCTAAGTCTCTGATTGTACTTTCTTAAAGATGAACAGTAGGAGATTGGTTTGACACATCTGGTTCTGGAATCATTTGTTGCCATGCATGTTAGACAAAGCCATGAACTTTGGTTCTCAAAAGAATTTCCTCTCCAGTTTTTGAGATTTATTACATATTTAACCATACCTTACATTCTCAAATTATGCTGTGACTTTATAAAGCAAACTATAGCTGCTTTAATCTGTTGTCTCTTTTTTGATCAATAAATTGAGTGTCTATTATGTGCTTAATAATGAGTGCCTTAAACTGTTAACCATTTTCTGTTTAGAAATAAATTGGATCAATTTGAACCACATACTTAACGAACTAAGTGTAAGTTTGAAATACTAATTTCTGAAAGGTTCGTAGCCCTTACTGTATAAATCTAGCATAGACCTTATAAATTGTTTTCAAGGCTTTTTATATTTAATAATTGCTAACTGATTCATTGAAGTTTTAAAAGCTGGAAGGGACAACCTTAAACATTGAAGTAATGAAATATTCTAATTTACCAGTAAGGAGATCTTGGGCCAGTTACATAATTTATGTGAACCTACATTGACTTATACATGAATAGGTTGGTCTACATAATACATATTTTGAGAATGAGTTCTTTAATTTGGTATCATAAGAAATTATCTATTTACAACTAGAATTATTTTTAACATGCTTTTTACAGATGTTGAATATGACTAGAAACAATTTTTTCCCCCATTAATTTTGTGGAGATCTGAAGTAAAAGTTTGATGACCAGTGAAAACTACATAACCACTGTAGTAATAGGTTCTCTAACAGCATATTTCTGAATTACCAGTGCTTGTTGTTTTTTGTTTTTTTTAAACCCAGAAAAATTTGAAGAAATGTTAATGTTTCTATTTTAAAAGAATTGAAATCAAGAAAATAGGTGAGCATTTACTTTAAGCTGAGGATGGTTGTAAATTGAGAGGTTCAAAATATCTTAATTCCCACCAGAACACTTTTTTTCATTAGAATATCTCATCAGAACTTATTATTATTTTTGTATCACATTGCAAGGAATTTTAATAGAATTGTCATTTTGTACTTTTTTCTCAAATGTGTACAAATGCTAACTCATGGTTTATCTAATTTTATCTATATTATTGATACTATTCCCAACTTGAATTCCTTGAGTATTGGTAAATTGATATATTTGTTCAGAGATTACTGTATTATATTATTATTGTGTAATTTGAAAATACTTCTCCATTTGTTTGCAATTACATTTTTCTGAGAGCTTCCTTACACTATTCATGAGCATTAACATTTAGCTTTGCAGTTACTGTACATAACTACATGGTTGAAACTGAATGGTCCCATGCAGACTCATGAAGGTAGCCTTTTGTCCTCTTCATTCTTGAAATAATTTAGACCAGTTTGCTTTGGTGTTTCTTCAGGATCTTTTTTTAGAGGTCTTCTAATACGAATGATTTGGGTTGCAAAGTGCTTAGAGATAGTCAGATATGAAAAATTGTTTTTTAACTAGCTATTTAAAAAAAATGCTAACCTTGTCACTTTAGTATCAAAAATGCACTAAAGTTTGTGACCATTGACAATATTGTCTATAAAATTTTGTCTTACTGCTATAATCACATTATGGCATTTAGTATCCTCTCAATTCAGCTTCATTTTGCATTTTATCTATCATATAAATCCAGATGTTTAATTTAAATACTGAGGCTTTATTATTATTATTAGCAGATAGTTTATTTAAAGTAGGTCTTATTTTCATTTATTGTACTATTTCAAATACTACAGACTTTTTTTTAGCCTCTAAAATAGATCCATAAATTTTTATGCATTAATTTTTTTTTTTTTAATTTTGAGAATGTTTAATGAAATAAATTAATGTTGGCTTCTTTTATACTTTACTTGCCTTTTTCTCCCTACATACGACCTTGTCAGACTAAATATATCTTAGCTGTTGAGGTTATTTTGTTTCACCATATGTGATCTTGTTTAAATAAACTTGCTTGAATATCCTTTTCTATATGCCTAGACAAGGTTGTGTATTCAAACAATAATATTAAGTGTATTCTTTCCTTATAGAAATTACCAACTTTCTAAAGTTTTTATCAGGCATGTGTATATTTTTATATAAAAGAAAGAATTTTGATTTTTATTGTATTATATATTCAGTTATTGCTCAATTTTTAAATTCTAATAATGTAATTGTTGGGATTTTCTACACCTAAGTTTTTGCTTGCTTTTACAACATAACATTTTTAAGGTAGAATTTTCTATTTGACACAAAGTTTATAATCAAAGATTAAGTTTCGCTCATTAAATAGTAGTTTCGTGTTGCATATATGTAAAATATTTTTTAAACAATATTTTATTTTTCCATGCCAGTTCATTCAGCCAGATTAATGGCTGGACAGCTATTTTGTATGTTTGTGTATAAACATTCTTCTGTTTTTTGTTATGTAGAACATGAGAAATTAAATGCAAAATAATTCCGTAAGTTTGGATGTACAGTATTACTGGTATAGCGCAAAAGGTGACAGGTACTTTTGTAGAGACATACTTTATTAAATATAGAAAATTATAAATAGTTTGAATACTTGAAAATTCCGATTTTTTGTTTTGTTTTTGAACAGATTTACTAAGTAGGTTGATTGTTAAAGAATAGAAAATTATGTTTTTAGCTCTTTGATAACAGTAAATAATAATGGTAGGAAAATGGAATATCATATTCCCCTCTAAACCAGATACTTTGTTAGATTCCCCTTTGACAAGGTTAGCATTTTTTCTTTTAAGCAAATTTAGCCTGCTTTTTAGGTAAGTATTTGGACTCTGAAACTGCTGCAGATGGCAGAATTTTCAGTACTCGGTGCATTTAAAAAAAAAAATGGTGGCCCATTCTGATATTATATTTTCCTTTCCTTTTCCTTTCGTTCTTTTTTTTTTTTTTTTAGCTTAAAATTTTCAAAAAAAAAAAAAAAAAGTTAGATCTCACAGTAAATATTTCTCAAATCCTTCCAGTAGGATTCAGTTTGTACACATGTTTCTGATGAGGTCACTGCTTGTTGTTATGATACAGAAAAGCCTGTGTCTATTTTAGGCATTTACTGTACATTTCTCCCGAGAAAAGAGTGAGATCGTGTCATCTCATGCTCCCCATCCGCAGGTCACTTCCTGTAGAAATATGGACTAACTTAAACCTCGTGAGTACTGAACTGAGCATCTCTTGCAGCCTCTAGTATAAGAAACACACCCTGGGTTTTTATAACAGCTGTGGAATTAATAGAAGGCGGGAAATGAACTTTTATTTCCTGGATTTGTACATGAATTATCTATTTTATAAAAATTAAATTCTGATCTCTTTTTAATAATCATTTTAGAAAGAGGTATGGGGTACTTTTCAGTCATCATGTAATAAAAGCCTGAGGTCATGACCTCAAAAGAACTTCATAACAGCATTTAAAATATACACAGTTGTAAATGGTATCATACCGTCCTACAACTTTGAGAAAAATATGCAGCTTTCTTTGCTTAGCATAACATGTTTAAGAGTCTAATACAGTGCTTTCCATTCTCTTGTCTGTCAATACTGGGCTTTCTACTCTCTTGCAGAAATACTGATCTTATACTGTTACTTTCCAAATAAATGCAGGATAAGAATATCTGGGATCTTAGCTGTTTTACTTTAATTAAGTATTTTTTAAAATAATTAGTTTTTAATACGTTTCTCTGAGGAGGTTAGGTGGCCTGTGGTCTTACAGAGATTAACTGAAATAAATAATGAAAATGCAGTACTACAGGTATCCCTCACTTAATGAAATAGACATTTTCAGAAAGTTTACTATAAGCAGAATTTCTATTAATCTGGTTCTTAATTGGTTTACATTATTAAATGGATTCTTAGATGAAGCAAAACTTTTAACAATTACACTTTTAAGAATTTAAAAACCTTTCTAATAAAATACTAACCATACTACTAACAGTATGACCCAGCTTATTGGCACTTTGCTTTAACTGATTATGGAGCAAATTAATTACTCTTAACCTGCAACTGGATCCCTCATATACCTCTAAATCAATTTTAATGTTTAAGTAGGTGCTCAGAATATTCAGTTAGCATGTTATCAGAATGTCACAAAACTAAAATGTCAAAATGAAAAGTAATAGACAGTTTTTACATCTGAGGGGTACCGTTCCTAATATCTTTGTGTATGTTTGTCTTAGAAGAACTAGAAAGATGTGTTTAGCTTTGGTATTTTTACTAAGCTGTTTGTCAACCTCAAATTACCTTACCATAATACAGTTTTAAGTTAATCGTAAAATTTTGTTTCTTCCCTCGTTTTATTTCTTGAATTAATAGATTATATTTTTCTAGATTTAATTAGCTTAATAGTATCTACTTAGTTGAAGTGTCCTTGGTAAAAAGCAAATAGCATAAAGCCCAAGGACTAGAGTTTTAACTAGTAAAGGACTAATAGTAAAATCTATGGATCATACCTAGATTTTTTATCTAATTTAATTGTTTGCTAGCATTTAGGCTAGTGTCTTTATTAAAGAGCAGCTCATCTGTGGGAGAGTTGAGCCAAAACAACTATAGTGTAACTCGGTAACTCCAGCTGATGATAGCAGTCATAGGGATAAGATGGTAATGTTCTCTCACTTATCTGTTCCCTAGGTTAATTTATGCCTGGAAATGAATTTTAGTTAAGTGAGAAATACCTGTCGTTTGCTTCCTGTCTTTGTTTATTAATATACACAGGGAATAGTTTAAAATTATAATTTGTAGATGTATTTTTAAATGTCTTTCTAGTAACATTCACAAATGTTTACTGCGAAATTAAAATTATATAGAGAGATTTTTTTTCAGGCTCTCATTGAGGAGTTTTGTGATTTGGAGTGTTAGAAACAAAGCTGAACTAAGTTTTATACTTTCAGAAACAAAACTTTTATTCTAAAAACAGTTGATGCTTCTAAAGCATTAATTGTTTGGGCCCACCTTTTCAAATAAAGTATAATAAATTGAATGAGAATTTTTACTTGGATAGGCTGTTTTTTTAATAAGTTTGATATAAGGCTTCCCTGTTTAGGCTTTCAAAATTTATTTAATAAAAAGCATTGTTACAGAATGATTAATAAAAACCATTATGAGTAATGCAGAATATTTTATTGTTTGTGCTACCAAGTGGCTTTTCATTAATGAACCTTTTATCTTGTTAGACACTTAGCTAATATGTAAGTTTAAAAAATTAGAATCATTAAATTGAGATTTGACCAGAATATTGATGTCTGATGCATCTTTGCTTCAAAATACTATTTAAAATATCTTTAGTTTGACTTTTTCAGTAAGAAAAATGAGATTCCAAAGAAGAAAAAAATAACTCTTTGTTCTCACTTAAGCCAAGCCATGCAAGAAAATCCTTTCCAGACATGATATTTAAACTGATCAGATAGTTTCAGGGTTTTTTGTTTTCCTTTCTCTTTACCAAGAATATATACATGAAAAGAACATCTTTCTTAAAATATGTTCCTACTCTTAAATACTTTATATTTTTATGTTAGTACCAGCTAGCTTTGCAAAAGTGTTAGTCCCATTCTAGGTTTTATACTTAATGTATGTAATATTAAAAGCATTTAGGAGAAATACAGACTGTATAATTTTTATAAAATTGTTAAAAGGAGTTATTAACCCAAACTTCTGTTCTTTTTCAGTAAGTACATTTATCTTGCTTGCTAAATAGTTAATTGAAGCATCCCTTTGGATAAAGTCTGGCAATTTTACCCACTGTTGAAACAGTGGATAAAAGAGTAAAACTTATGTTAGAATGATCTAACATCACAAAGGGAAAGGAAGCTGTGAGACCACATTCAGCTATTTTTGAACAGTCTGTTCAAATTATTTTCCATTTATAGATCTGCCCATACTAGCTTTGAAAGCCCAGAAAGACTTATGATTAATTTTACACATACATTAAATATATATATTTCTAAGTGCATCACAGGATTTTTGCTCCTAAAAGTACTCTACTTACATTAAATGTGTTAATGATATTCTACCTTTTTAAAAGTAATGTGCTTCACCTAATAGTATTCGATAGAAAATATTAAAACAGTTAAGATCCTTGGACATTTCTGCATGCAAGTTTTCATTAAATTTAAAGGCCAGTTGAATACATATAGCTTGAAGTAAGTAGTTCTATAAAATTTGTGCAGCTGATCTTCAGTGTTTGGAAGCAATTTATTAAAATATGTTGTGTAGTTGAAGCATTCTTCCTAAGTTCCGTCACCAAGGTTCCATTTTGTGTGCTATTTTTCCATAACTCTTGGGAGATGGCATGTAATATTGATATGCACTAGTCTACAAATAAGCTATTCCAGAGAACTTAATTTACTTCCTGGAATGAGCCATTTTATGTTACTACTCTTCTGTACTAATAGTTAATATGTATATCGTACTTTAGTATGAAACTAGAACTACTTTCTACTATCAGTTTCTCTCTTCAATGTCTATAAAAGTGAGAGGGAAATTCCAATTTGTAACTTTTTTTGCACTTTAGAGTTTCTCTATATGTGTAAGTGGATGAAAAATAGGTCTGTTCTAATAACCCTAACAGAAGTCATATCTCTGTGATACCATTATTTTAACAGAATTAGTAAGGGTATTTTTATATAAATACTCATGGGGCCAAACAAAAATCTTTTCTGTTTTATGACCAGTTTAAGATCAAAACAGTAGCATGGTGACATATACAGACAGTTTTGAATATAGTGATTTGTGATATTAATCAGACCCCAGGTAGCTGGTATAGAGTTTGCATGCTTCTTAACCCTAGAATACATTACATTAATCTATACTTTTGTCTGTATAAATGGGTTTCTGAATTCAGTGTAAACAGTAGAGGGTGCCCCAGAAGGTATTCTGTATAGTTTGGGAGAGGAGTTTATCCATAATCAGATTTTGTTCTTAAAAGAGTCTTTTAGTTAAAAGTCAGAATTTGAGAATTTTATTTACATAGATTGGAAATAAAGCACAAATGTTTATGGTTTTATGGATTTGTTAAATAAAAATGTAAAGCATCTATTAATCAATAGTTTAAATATATACTTTTTCTTTACTATAGATTTATATAACTTAAAAAAAATTTAAATAATGTGTTCTTCATTTTTATCAGAGTTCATTTTAAACATGTTTGTTTAGGTTTTACTGCAATCACAGCGACCAACCCCATTTGGCTTATAAAGACTCGGTTACAGCTTGAAGCAAGGTATGTTAATTCATTTAAGTCAAAATCATTAAAGTCAGGTTCAACTAATTTTTTTATATGTATGTACATATATATGGGAGCTCTGGTAGCATAGTGCCTAAGGCACTTGACAACCAGAAGGCTGGTGGTTCAAACACACCAGCCACTCCTCAGAAGGAAGATGGGGCAATCTACTTCTGTAGTGATACTGCCTCGGAAACCCAAGGAGGGGTTGCCATGAGTCCGGTCCAACTCAATGGCACATAACAACAACAACATACATATATATATATTTTTTAAATCAGTGAGATTTCAGTTCCAAATTTAACCATAGTTTACCCTTTTGCTCTATTGAGATTTTATTTTATTTTATTTTGGGTCTTCTGTCAGAAGCAAAAATGGACGTAATTATTGGCAGTATGAGACTTTCTAGGTTAAAATGTATTACATGTTGTGATTATTAAAATAAACAAGGTATAATTCCCTAGCCCAAAAAGTAATACTTCACTCTGTGGGTACTTCTTATTGGCTTCCCAACAGCTAAATAAGCCACATGGTTAGCTGGTGTAGAGTGAGTCTTTGAGGATCATTGCTCAAATTCAGGAACTTTATATACAAAGAGTGCTGGTCTAGGCCTTAGCTCTCAATTAATTTGTAGTTTTTTTCATTTATTTCCAGTGACCACTTTATAGTTAACAAAATTCATTCTTTCAAGAAATCAATATGTATCAGGCACCAATCCAAAAACTAAACTCACTGCCGTCGAGTCAGACCTAACCCCTCATGGGGTTTCCGAGGCGGTATCACTACAGAAGTAGATTGCCCAACCTTCCGTTAGAACTCTGGTGGTGCATTGCCTAAGGCATATGACTGCTAACCACAAGGTTGGCGGTTCAAACCCACCAGCCACTCTGTGGAAGGAAGATGGCACAATCTACTTCCTTAAAGATTTACCATCTCAGAAACCCAGTGAAGTTTACTTGAGTCTGGATTGACTTGATGGCAGTGAGTAGTTTGGTTTTTTGTTTGTTTGTAGGTTCCAAAGATACACTAGTAAATGATGGAGACCAACTTTTATTTTTTACACCGTAACAGAATATATTTGTTGTGAGTAGATAAGATTCAAATTGGCACCATCAACCTGAAGGTGCTCCAAAAAGGGATAATGAAAACAGGTTATATAGGTGGTGTCTGACCAGGGTAGTCTCTTGAAGGTCATTGTAATTCTCCAAAAGAGCCTAATGCCTAAGGCAAAACACAAAGAGCTCTGATAGCACAGTGACTAAAGCATCTGACTGCTAACCAAAGGTTGGTGGTTCAAACCCACCAGCCTCTCTGTGGAAGCAAGACTGGGCAATCTACTTCTATAAAGATTTACTATCCCAGGAACCCAGTGGGGGTTGCTGTGAATCAGAATCAACTCTGTGGCAGTGGGGTTTTGTTGTTGTTGTTGTGTTTTGGTAAGCTGATTACTAGGCTGTTGTTTGTCTTAAAGGTGACTTTAGGAAAATAGCCCTCAGGGTTCAAAAGGACATAAGGGCAAATGGCCTGGGTGGGTTACTCCAACACCATGGACCTAGAAGTCTGGATTCCAGAAGAATTAAAATAGTTTCTGAGATATTAATAATACTGTGTTACAATTTCCACATTCCATTGAATCATCACTTTTTGGAATGGGCACATTTATGGATTTCTTCCAGTTGGTTGGCCAAATTTCTTGGCATAGATGAGTGAGTACTTCCAGCATTGCATCCGTTTATTGAAATACCTCAATTAAAAAAAACAAACTAAACCCACGGTCATGGAATCGATTCCAACTCATGGCGACCCCCATCAGGTCTCTGAGGTGATAAATCTTTACAGAAATAGATTGCCCTGTCTTCTGTCTGCCAAGTGGTTGGTGGGTTTGAACTGCCAACCTTAGTGTTAACAGTCAAAATGCTTTAGGCACTGTGCCACTAGAGCTCCTTATCTCAATAAATAGGAGCTATCATTATGTATGGGGAAGACAGACATTCAACAAGTGAGTCATTCAGGGCCACAACCAGCATTTTATTTGAAGGTAGCTGCTCATGTTTTCTGCTTCTATCTGCTGTCTGGTTGCAAGGAGCCCTGGTAAGGTAGTGGTTGAGTGCTCGGCTGCTAACCAAAAAAGGTTGGTGGTTTGAAATTACCAGCCACTCCACAGGGGAAAGATGGCAGTTTGCTTCCATAAAGATTACAGCCTTGGAAACCCTATGAGGAAGTTCCATTCAGTCCTATTTAAAAAAAAAAAAAAACTCACTGCCATCATTGAGTCATTTCCAACTTACAGTAACCCCTCCTTTGGCATTATCTCTGCAGGAGTAGATTGCCCAATCTTCCTTCCAAGGAGTGGCTGGTGAGTTTGAACTGCAGTCCTATAGGGTCGCTAATAGTTAAAATTGACTCAAGAGCCACAGGTTGGGTTGTTTTTTGTTTGTTTTTGTTTTTGTTTGTTTGTTTAAGTCTCTGGCTGCTTGGGGAAATATGGTACTACTAGTTGTTTGTTGCTGTGGAGTTGATTCTGACTCACAGTGACCCCATGTGTGCAAGTAGAACCACTCCATAAGATTTTCAAGGAAGCAAAAAATCTTTTGGAAGCAGATTACTGGGCCTTACTTCTTAGGCTCTTCCAGGTGGGTTTGTACTACCAACCATTTGGTTAGTAGTCTAACACTTAACCATTTGCATCACTCTGGGCCTCCTGGTACTACTGGAGTGAGCATGAAAGATGCTAGGAAAGTACTATATTCATTTACATGGTGTAGAAGCAAGATCCTAGTTAAAATAATGGTGATAGGAATAACAATAGCAGCATTTATATGTAGAGTGACTGACTGTTCTGATTTGCCTGGAACTGAGGGATTTCCTGGGACTTCAGACTTTCAGTTCCTAAACTGGGAAAGTGCTGGGCAAACCCAAATGAGTTGCTCACCTTCCTTATATTTATCATTTGCCTGGCACTAAGCCAAGGGTCCACAAACAGCTTGTGAGTCAAATCCAACCATCCTGTTACCACCTGTCCTTTTTAAAAAGTTTACTGAGATAATTGTAGATTCACATATAGTGGTAAGAAATATTAGAGATCTCTGTGTACTCTGCCCAGTTTCTCCCAATGGGAACATTATGCAAAAACATGGTACAGTATCACAACCAGATACTGACTTTGACGCAATTCACCAATCTTGTTCAGATTTCTCCAGTCTTGCATGTACTCATTTATGTGTGCGTATATGTGTGATTCACTTGTGTACACATGTATATTAAGTTTGATATAGTTTTATAACCTTTGGTTCTTGTTTCAGTGAGCTGTGGTGGCATATTGGTTAAACCTTTCTCTGCTAACCAAATAGTTGTTCAAACCCACCAGCTGCTACATGGTAGAAAGATGAAGCAGTCTGCTTCCATAAATATTTACTGCCTTAGAAACCCTATGGGGCAGTTCCACTCTGTCCTAAAGGGTCGCTATGAGTCGGAATCAACTCACTGGCAGCGGGTTTTGGTGGTTCTTGTATCCACCACCACAGGCAAGATATTGAACAGTTTACATTTAAGTTACCTAACTGCTTCAACAACTTTATATGATTTTTACAATCATTATCTTCATTTTTCCAAAGGAATGAAATGAGGCACAGAGAAATTGTCATTTCCTCTAAGGTACACAACTTGAGTCAGGTTTTGAACCCGGCCCATCCAACTCTGGAAAATATGTTTTTAACCAATCCTGCTTCTCAAAAGATTTCCACATGAGCACTTACGTGTTCTGGAATTCCATTCTTCTTAAAACCAAAAAAAGCACCTCACTGCCATTGAGTCATTTCTGACTCATAGTGATCCCCATTTGGGTTTCTGAAGCTGTAAATCTTCACGGAAGTAGATCGCCCCATCTTCCTTCCACAGAGTGGCTGGTAGGTTTGAACCTCTGACCTTCTAATTAGAAGTCAAGTACCTTATCACTACTCCACTAGAGCTCCTTATTCTTCTTAAAGTTACCCATAATTTGTTAGGATCCACATGTTGATTGCCTTTGCATAGTCAGTAAAGCACAAGTAAACATCTTTCTAGCATCACTGATTCACCCAAGATCCATCTGACGTCAGCAATGATAGCCCTCATTCCACATTGTCTTAGTTCTCTAGTGCTATTGTAACAGAAATACCACAAATGGATGGATTTAACAAACAAAAATTTAGTCTCACAGTTAAGGAGGCCAGAAGTCTGAATTCAGAGTGCTGGCTCTAGGGGAAGGCTTTCTCTCTGTGTGTATCTTGGTCCTAGGAGGATCCCATTGTAGAGACTCTGGATCCAAAGGATGCATTTTGCTCCCAGCTCTTTCCTAGTGGTAGTAGATTCCCCCTTGGAGACAAACTTTTAAAATGGAATGTTCAAGGAATGGTTTTCTGGCCCATTTTAAGCAGAAGCAGCAGAGGCCCTGAACTATAAGACCTCTAGGCGTGTTCTGGGAACTAAGAGAAGGCCAGCCCAGCAGCAGTACAACTTACCAACTTGCCACCTCAACTTCTTTTGGCCTTTAGAATAGAGGGTAGGGTAATGGTAATACTTTTAAGTAGAGATATGATCCTCTTCAAATGCACAATGATAATGTTGATTGTTTTGAAATGTTCAGACTTTTAAGTCTATAATGAATTTGTAAGCTGATCTTCTATTTAAGCAAATAATGTACATATCAGATTTCCACTGTTTTTATATTTTGAGGTTTGAGTAGTGTTATGTCCTGTAGACTATCAAAACTGGTCTAACAAATCATTGGTAGCTACGTGTGCCTGCTTGAATATCCTGTCATGTTGAACTGTATGCTTTTTTGAGACTTGAAATGTCTGATTCTTAGTGCATCTGGAGTAGTCCTTTTAATGAAATCTTACAAGGCATAGCAAAAATCAAAAGTATCTAAAAAGTGATAATAGACAAGACTTACCAGTACCTGTTGCTGTAAAGTTGACTCCAACTCATGGTGACCCCACGTGTGTTAGCATAAAACTGTATTTCATACACATGTTTTTTGTTTTTAATTGTGGTGGAAATCCACATAATAAAACATACACCATCTCAACAATTTCTATATGTACAGTTCTTATGGCTTGATTACATTCTTCAACTTCCATAGGGTTTTCAGTGGCTGGTTTCATGGAATTAGATCACCAGGCCTTTCTTCTGAGGTGCCTCTTGGTGAACTTGAACCTCTAACTTTTTTGTTAGCAGCCATGCACACTTAACCCAAGGGGTAAAAAAGTGTGAGGTGCTGGTCTACATTATACTATTCTAAATTATCAGTGGTATGCTTCAGTGTGTTACAGAATTGATTTGTAGGGAATTCAGGAAAAATATGGCTTAAAAATTCTTTAATATTGTTTCACTTAACAGTTGTAACACAAGCCAGGACAGTTTTTTAGGTTTGGGGCCAAGGGATAGGGATGAGGTGATAATGTGTAAGTGAAACACTGATTTAAGGATGTTAATTTATAAAACCCATTCAAAAGCAAGGCTGATGTGTTTGCATATCACATTTTGGGACTTTGAGTTCTTAACAGCTTTTTTCTTTTTTTGAGGAAGAATTTCTAGTGGCAGGAACTAAGAATAGATTCTGCACCCTTAGAATAGTACTAACTGAAGAAATTTTCTTATGCACAGTACCTAGTCACTTTTTGGGGTAGGTGGGAAGGGTTGATAGTTCCTTAGATGCATAGAAATCAGATTAATCATAGTCTTTGCTTTATGAAACACTGTCATTATTGGTGTCTCACTCATTCTTTTTATGTTATTAAATACAAAGGAAATTCAACTTACTTAGAACTGGATTTACTATAATGTGGGGAGTTTTTGTTTTTACCTTGAGCTACAGTAGGAATGGGTATTTCCTAAAGGAATTGTTACTTATCCCTACAACACGAACTCCAATAAGAACATGAAACTGAGGATTCAGTGTTAGTAGTTAGCGTATTTTGCATTCAGTAAAATTAACTATTTACATGTTACCCATCTAATATGACAAGTTTGGGATGAAAAGAGTAGGGAATCTAAATTAAAGTTTTAAAATTATAATTTCACATCATAATTTAGAGAGGGCCATTCTTTATTAGAGTGTCATATACTACTATATTTACTTTAATTCAAAACCTATATTTTATTTATGTTAATAAGATATCCCTTTCTGGTTTTCAGGAACCGTGGAGAAAAACGAATGGGTGCTTTTGAATGTGTTCGTAAAGTGTATCAGACAGATGGACTCAGAGGATTTTATCGAGGCATGTCTGCTTCATATGCTGGCATATCAGAGACTGTTATTCATTTTGTTATTTATGAAAGTATTAAGCAAAAACTACTGGAATACAAAACTGCTTCGACGATGGAAGACGATGATGAGTCTGTGAAAGAAGCATCAGATTTTGTGGGAATGATGTTGGCTGCTGCCACCTCAAAAACTTGTGCCACAACTATAGCATATCCACATGGTATGAGGAGTTGAATTTCCATGAGTCTTACTCCAGTATCTCAGAAATGTTTTCTTACCCCAGCCAACAATGTGCTTATTAGAGCATTATAATGTTCTAAAATCCAGTGTAACAAATACTGTTCTTGGAAGTTCTATAATGGGAATAAATCTACATAAGTAACATAAGATTGTATAAATAGGTTATTTTATGCCATAAAACAGCCTGTTGATGCTTGAGCATGGACTCTAGTTAGATAATCATATTCCAGCCATGCCACTTACCTCAGCTAGGATTGGGCTTAGTTTCTGAGAAGAGGTTTTAAAACTTGCCCAAAGTCTCACAGCTGCTTGGCAGTGGATCCCAAATTTGAATCAAAATATATAGTATCAGAGATCAGATGATTTTATATTATTTCATGTTGGCAAATAAGTGTGTATGAATACTCTCTTATTTTGATCTTTAAATTTTATATTAGCCTGGTCATTAATAGCTAAAGAAATCACTTCACAATTTGTAACACACTGAATTTTTTTTTTAGTTTGTTATTTTTATCTAAGTGTGGGCTTTGATTTTTTGGAGGGGGGGTGTCTGTGAGGTTTGGTTTTAGTTTTTATTTTTTTACTCCTTAGTGCTTCACTCTCGTTACACTGATTACATTTACCCTTGTGAAGGTAAAAGCTTTGTGATTAAAGCTACGTCAGAAAAAAATGAAACAGCTAGGAAATGAGTATTTGCTCTAAGATAAAATTTATTAAGGCATCTCCTTTTAACCAGGTTGGACAATTACTTTAATGTGACTGGTTTCAATAAGCTACACATTAAAAATTACTCATTTATTCTGAACTTAAACTTAGAGACTGGTATTTGCGTAATAAATTTAGTAAAGATACCCCTAATGTTTAAGTAAAATATCTTTATTTTTTTCCTAACAGAAGTTGTAAGAACAAGACTACGTGAAGAGGGAACAAAATACAGATCTTTTTTTCAGACACTATCTTTGGTTGTTCAAGAAGAAGGTTATGGGTCTCTCTACCGTGGTCTAACAACTCATCTGGTGAGACAGATTCCAAACACAGCTATTATGATGGCCACCTATGAATTGGTGGTCTACCTACTCAATGGATAGCAACATCTGCCTGTCAATCTATAAAGAGGGAAGAAGACCAAAAGAGTACAGTGGACCATGGAATATCTAAGCCAGCATGGTGGACAGAAGAAAAAGGTTGGGGAACATTTAACTATGCCTAAGTGGAAGTTTGGTTGTAGGAGTTGAAGTGATCATACCATGTTACTTGGTCTTTTTGGAAATGTGAATGAAACCTCGGCTGCGTCCAAGGAAAATACCTTTAAAAGCACTCCTTTCTAAAAATTACCATTTTCTCTGCCATGTCTGCCTGACATAGTTGACTTTAGTTGATTGGTGGCAGTCAGAGTATAGCATTGTTCATTCCATGAGTACTTTTCCAGTCTTTAAACAAAGCCATCCCTAATTATATACTATACTATAACTGTCCAGAGATAGTATTGACAGTCATAAATTTCTAACTTCTGGCTTCTGTTCAATTCCTGTAAAATTGAAAAATAAGGATAGTGAGATCTTCAGTATTATTTTCATATTTCTTTGACAGGACCTGCCACAATACTTTAAAGTTAAGTAAATTACCTCGTAATTAGTAGTTGCTGTTTTTGACAGCTAATAAAATACTGTCTAAATATCTTGTATATGTTTAGCATTAAAATGTTTTTGTTTCCATTTCTAATACGTGCTTAATATTTAGAATAATTGTTCATTAACACATCAAAATCAAATGGTATTAGTTTGGGACAAAATAAACCAGTAAAATCTTGATGCTTGACCATTTCAGTGACTTAAGCATGACCCTATTTCTTCTATGACTTCATGGTACATGAATGAAGACACCTAGAATTCAGACATCTTTTTTCAGTGAATTATTAGTTATGAACCTGAATTACCTACCACCTGTTCATCCTACATAGATCTCATTTACATAGGAAAAAATTTACTGTTTCTGAACTTTTTGTCTGCTTATTTTCTCATTAAGAATTTGGACCTTTCGATAATTTCCAGAAGATATATGTAGGTTACCTTTATTTCACAGAGAAAATGGTAATTTTTAACTTTGCCCTTACACTTATTTTTCAGGGTGACATGTTAATGCTGGGGCACTATAGACATAGAAGAGAAGTCCGCTGCTGTCTGCTTCAGCAGGTAGTGATTGTAATTGGCTTAGTTTTGTAAATGAACAAACTGCTTTCAACAAATTAATTCTCTCTCTTAGTTTCCTGAATAGGAGCTCTGGAGGCATAGTGATTAAAGCATTGGGCTGCTAAGCAGTAGGTTAGGGGTTCAAACCCACCAGCTGTTCTGCAGGAGAAAGATGAGGCAGTCTGCTTCCGTAAAGATTTACAGCCTTGGAAATTTTATGGGACAATTTTGCTCTGTCCTGTAGGGACACAATGAGTCGGGATCGCATTGATGGCAGTGGATTTGTTTTTTGGTTTTTTCCTGGCTGATTAATCATAGCAAGAGTCCATTTGATTCAGATTAAGTGTGCTAAAAGGATATAGCTTTTAAATTTTGTTATTGAGCTTAACTGCACCTTTTAATACTTCAAGTCTACTGTATGTATGGCCCTTTATGAAGACATTAATTGCAATTTTATGAAGAGACTAATCCCTATGAATGTTGCTGTAGTGGTATATAAAACTTACACAGCTAACCTCCAGTGTGGTACTCATTTCAGTATACATGAACTGTACATTTTGTGCAATGGCTTTATCTGACTTTTTATTAATGCACTTTGTGGCCTTTTTTAGGGGTGCAAGAATAGGAGAGAATTACATATTAAAGTTTAAAAAAAATTGGTCATGTATTAGGCAGAAGCAGTGTTCATAGCATTTGGGGGGGGTTAGGTATGTTGTTTTGGAGATCTTTAATATATTTTAAGTGTTCTGTGTCTACTCTGGTGCCCTCAACTTTACTGAAAATTACAGTATGTCATTGCAAGCCTTCTCTGCTGTCATTGATGAAACAGTGCCCTCTTGAACTCTCCCACCTTCTTAAAATCTTTGTAATTAACAGTAACTGGATGCTTTTGAGGTGCTTTGATTGGAATTTTAAAATATTCCAATCTATGTGGAGACCAAAGACAAATTCAGGTCTCTTACCTTTGGGATTATTAATATATTTTAATGATGAATTTTAGTTTGACATTTATTGTGAGGCACACACCAAAACACAAAAATGGGATTTTCTGATCTAAATCTGTAGAGAAAGTCTCAGTCTATAGAGTTTGCCTTTTCAGGTGCCATTTACACTGCCTAATACAGTGCCATTTGCCTTGCGAAGATCTGTAAGCATTAGTCATGTTGAATGTAGGACAGAGACTCTCCCTGATTTTAATGATCTCAGTACCCCACAAATGGTTGAGAATGATATGAAAACCAGCAGCTAAGGAACATCTTATTATTTAGTTGTAGCAAATTCATAACAAGTGTCCTTCAAGGATAAATGTATACTAATCCTATTTGTATTTAGCAAGTAAAACTTTTGTTGACCTTTAGTGCATTATATTCAACTTTTAACAGTGAGTATTATGTATATACTGGAAGGAAGTGAGATCTTGGTGTCCTAGATTTTCTTTCTTTGTGCGAAGACTGGAAAGAAGCAGTGAAGTTTGTTTGTTTCCAAAGCACAATCTGCAGTAGTTTACTTTATGTATGAAAGAGATAATTTAAAAAGAAACCTATATATAAAAGCTGTGTGTAAAGTTTGTCTCCAGAATATTTCTTTGGAGATTTATTATTATTATTGTTGTTACTATGGATTCAAATGTTTAAAGAAGAAAAACACATACTCAAAGTATTGGACTTTTTAAAAAAAAAAAAAAACAATGTTTTCAATCAAATGACATTTTATTTCTGGTGTGCAGGTAGTCAGGACTCTTCGGATTGGTATATACTTTTATTATAAAATACTTTCAGAAATTTTAATTTATTCAGGTGAAAGCAGCAGGTAGTGAAAGAACATGTTTTAGTACTCTGATGGAGCAAGAGGTAGATTTCTGGTACCTTTTGGCTCATAGAAATGATCTGAATTTCAAAATCCAAATGTGAGAATTACCAACCTGTGATTGTCGGGTACCATATACTGGTTTTAAATCCATGAAAAAAACTATCACCAAAGCTTTGTTTCACTTTGCATTATGTGTGTAAGGTTGTGGAACTAACCTCAGTAGATGGGACCCACAAGTAATAATTGATTTGTAACTTCGAAACCACAACAAAATTAGATTATTCTGCCTTTTGACTCCTAACAAAACCTAAAGCACACTGTGGAACAGCATTATTATATTAGGACCAGCAGAGTTTGGGTTGTTAAAAATGATGAATGTTTACTCTTTTACTGAGGTATAAGTATCTCAGCATTTTTAGATTTGTTTTAAATAAGTAAAAATGTTGGTTTGACTTTGAAGGATTTAAATGCCAGGAATTAATCTATCCTTTGTTCTTGCAGCACTGTTCATCCTCAGAACTAGATTGTTTACATGCTCCTCTGCCCAGGCTGTTAGTACTCTAGGGACCCCTTGTGGGCTAGTAAATAATTCAATCTTTTCCTCTTCCAATATTGATCATGACCTTAACATTCCTAAGAATATAGATAATGCTGATTGATTTAAATTGGGAAGAATTTTAATATACTAAAATAAGACAATGCACTCTGCCCACTCAGATCTCTTCTCCATTATACCTTTGTATTTCTCTTACACACTTATTTTTATGTGACTTCTTTTAGAAACTGAAGATTCTAGTTTCTCATTCAATTTTTGTGTTATTTTTTGAATGTGTACCCCTGCATATGTGAACAATTAAATTATGACCTATCATTCATAGCCAAATAGTCAACTTCATAAGACTTGATAATCTTCCGGTCATTCATATGAGGTTGCTGTTTTTGCATTTATATACATGGCTGTAAATTATGAGCATTCTGTATTTATGGTAACTAGCTGACTTTTATTTGAATTATTAAAATTCAAAAATTAAAATGTACTTACGAAAATGGTGGGGTGTTTTTTTCTATAATGTATTTTGCTAATGTGGCATGGTAAGAATATAATCCCACTTTCTTAGGATTATGTGTAGAACAGAAGGAAAAGACCTGTTGTAAGTGTGACACTCATTGGTTCATTCATACAGTAAATTTTTTTTTTTTAATGTGGTGGGAGTAGGGAAGGGTTTGTATCTACTGAACCTAGTAATTGTTCTAGGAATCAAAGGTCAAATCACATCAGAAGATCTACCCACTTTATGTTTTGTCTATTTCATTTTATTTAAGTTTTCCTGAATGTAACTAACATCAAACATTACTCAGTGTTGGAAGTGAGGAGACCAGAACAGATATGTCTTGTTCCATTCTCAGAGTTAACATAAAACTGAACTCATTTGGTCTGCTAATAGTACTCTTTCATCTGAACACTGAAATTGTGGGTAGAGTGAATAAACTAGCAAAACAGTGGTTATGGTTGTTATGGGTTAACTCACGAATGTCCCAAGTTTAAGAGTGCCTGTATCTTTTTTCATTACTGAGTATAAAGATCTGTGATAGAGGAAGGAATTTGTAATTCCTTACAGTTCAAGTATGACATCTATACAACTGATAAAAATAAGGCAACAAACAGTTTTGTTTGTTTTTCTGTATGATTTTTTGTACTGCACAGACCAACTACCTACCTTAGTTATAATACATGGAATTAATGCAGTAATTTAAATTAAATTATTTCCCCAACAGCCTGTACAGCGCAAACGATGTAGTGCATTGTTGTCAAGTCAGATCCTACTCATAGCAACCCCTTCTTGGATTTCCAAGGCGGTATTGCTATGGAAGAAGATTGCCCAGTCTTCCCTCTGAGGAGTAGCTGATCGGTTTGAACTGCCAGCCTTCTGGTTAGCATCAAGTGCCTTAGGCACTACGCCACCAGACCTTCTAACAGCCTGTAGGCAGGGTAAATACAATACAAGATGATATTTAAGGAAATAATAGTCACAGTTGGGCTTTTTGACTTGGCTGTTCTAAATACTAAGGCCTGTTGCTTTTGTTTTACTATACTAGGTTATTTATTGACACTGGGAGGATTAAGAAGAATATTTCTTTACCTAAAGGAAAGGTCATTCTAAGGTCCAGTGTTCATACAGTAGCTTAATGGTGATGGGGTTTGAGTTGTGCTTTGGTTTAGGTTGAAAGCAACCAAAAGGATAAAAGCTTTTCATGCATTTCTTAGAAGTGAAATAGCATGAATAAAGCCTATGGGAATTGGCTCAGAATGAAACATATTGGGAAGTAATGGGAAATACAACTGAGTCTGTAAGTTAATTATGTGAACAGGTCTTAAGTCTGACCTATGGAGT